CCGGTAATGGGCCGATAATAAATGCCGGTAATGGGCCAATAATAAATGCCGGTAATGGGCCGATAATAAATGCCGGTAATGGGCCGATAATATATATATATATATATATATATATAATTTATAAAAAATTTGTAATATTTTATTATAAAATAAGAATATAAATTTATAAAAAAAAAATTTTAATATAAATTAAAATATAAATATTTCTTAAAAAATATGCAATTAATAGTAGAAATCAAATACACCTGAGATAATAGAATATATTTCGGTTTATTATTAATATAAAATAATATAGAGTAGATAAATTATCAAAATAGAGAAATGAATTAATTGATAATATTATGAAACAAACAATCAACTATATTTATATACAATTAGTATTAGAACTCACGCGTTCGTGTAGTATTTCACGCAAATTTGTTACCAACTAATCTGACGCGTTAATTATCTTGCTAATTGTCAAAGACAGTTTCGGTATTCGCACGTGTCCCCTCATAAGATATCCATAATTACATTTTCGTTCTATACATATACACACACGTGCATTGTTATACCATGCATGATCTCACTTAAATTGGTTTACCTGAAACAAGTGTATCGAGTTACTTTTAGTTAGATGAAAACTTCATTTGATACGAAACCCAAACGAGTATAATATTTATTTCTGTATAAAGTTATACGTGTGTAGACGTGTCTGTGTGAATTATTACCTTCATAAGTCGTTAAAACTAATAAATTAAACCCATAGAAAATTTGTGATCAAATTTATATTTAATACTTCGTTGAAAATACATTTCAATTTTAATAAACAAAATTCACAATCGATTGATGAATGACTTTTTCTTGTTTTTTTTTAATTGAATTAAAGTGGAAAGATAATGAAGAAAAAGGGAACATTTTGATTAGTATTAAAAAGGGAAATGAAAGAGTATTATTATACTGATCCCGTATACGTTAAATTGACTTATCGGATCCTTCCGTCCTGGCGTTGCGGCTAAATCAAACTACGAAATCTCATAAATGACGTACATGCTCTCATGACTTTACCTTACCTTACCTAACCTTACTTTACCTTATCTTACCTTATCTTACCTTATCTAACCATATATATATATATATATATATTCCTGTTAGATGGAAATCTTTCGAAAGGAGTACGGAAGTTCCTTGAAGATTTGGCAGAGTTGATTTGGATCTTTCTTGAATATCGATTCTTTTCTTGATCCATTTAAGATAAAGATATTTTTTTGTATTCAATTGAATTCTTTTTCAAAAACAAAATAATAAGAATTAAACTTTGATGTAAAAATTATACAATCGTTGCAAGTGTCATTTAGTATGTAACAGATCAATTAGAAAAAATGATTTGTGATTTGTTCAATCTTCATATAAATTATATTTCACATTTTTAATTCATTTAATATTAATAATAATAATAAATGAATCTTCCTGTTTCCTCTCGAGTTTTTTTTACAAATGAAATCATAGTGGTTTTTACTAATGATCCTAATTTAAAACTAACGAAGGGAAAAATAATAATTGGAATACTGAAAAAGAATCTTTGAGTACTCCTTTCATTGGGCATATCTTGAACATTCGTGTCCTAGATACTTAACTTCAGTCCTCCCAGTTGACGAGAATGAAAATTGCTGTAGCAAAATAAAAAAATCAAAGAAAATTTATTCAATCTTTTTATTTATCATTCACCACAACAACAACAACAACAACAACAAAAAATATAGAAACAATCTTTCCACATTCCTTGATGATCGTCGTACTCCGTTTTATGAGATACGAGATTGGTTGAATAAATTCGAATGGAATAATTTGACTGTAAAATTGATGGTAAATTATTGGGAACGTATAAATGGATGAATATTTGAAAACGAAGAATAAAATACAAATGAGCCACGTAGAATATGAAATTTTCTTTGAAAACTACGAAAGGATTATCGAATCTTTCGAATAATTTCAAACCCATAAAAAGATCAACTAAATGCTAAAGTAATAATAATAATAATAATAATAATAATAATAATAATAATGCATTAGATGGGCAGAGGTTAACAATAATAGAACGATGCACTCCTATGTCGTATAAAGTTTCGAGTAATATTAGCTACCACCCGTCAAATTGGTGCTGCTTTTGAGAAAGGGAAAGTAACAGAATGAAGAGAGACTGAGAGAGAGGGGGGGAGAAAGAGAGAGAGAAGAAGAAAATACCCTACTCATTGTCGTCCCATGGGGGGAACGTTGTTCGGTATGATAGTTCGGGCGTAGTTCGTTAGGGTAAAGTTAAAAGAGGGGCACCCTCTCAAAAAATGGGGCGGGGCCCTTTTTCTATCGGGCCCTTCGTTAGAACCAACCCCTGGGAGGAGTTAGCCATAGGTATATATTCAGTAACAGGGGTGCCCGGGGGTTCAGAACTCAATGCAACGTCTTACAGTGAACTACGTCGACTAATTTTTGTTTTGTAAATCTAATTCAAGTGCTTACGAACTTAAAACAGTATAAATTGTGTATTTTGTTTAAATAATTCTCATGTAATATAATAAATTGAAAACAAATAAGAACACAGTGTAAAAGTGTCGTTAAACAGTGAGATTAATCATCAACAATAATGTCTCGAAGTTTTTTAATGGATTCTATAATTGGCAACAATTCACCACCGTCCTATCCTTTGCCATATTACGGAAATCAGTTGCCAAATTATATGTTCAATTTCTTCAACCTGGGATTAGGTTATCAACCAATCAGACCAGTTCCTAGAACACCAGTAATACCAGTACCAACAGTACCTATCAGTCCGTCGGCAAACGTGACTCTAGGAATTCCTGGACAAAGCCCACCTTCACCTATAAACGTTTCAACCAGTAGACTCTCAGGTAGGTTGTTACACTAAGCTTATCAACTAGGCTAAACGCCTGTACACCTGGAGACAAACGTAATCATAGTAGATCCAAGATCAAAGCGTTACAATAAAGCTAAACTAATCCACGTTTCTCTGTTACCTATGTCATTACAGATGTCTCGGCGTCTAATGAGTCACCATCTCGTAATAGTACACCAACACCGCCACCAAAATCACCTAATTCCATTGGCAATAGTTCGAAACGTATACGAACTGCATTCACAAGTACACAATTGTTGGAACTTGAACGTGAATTTGCATCTAATATGTATCTATCACGTTTACGTCGTATAGAAATTGCTACGAATTTGAGATTATCTGAGAAACAAGTTAAAATTTGGTTTCAAAATCGTCGGGTTAAATATAAGAAAGAAGATTTACCGTCGGGACAAACTCAAAAGTGTTGCTGTTTACGTACGTGTGGTAGAAAGAAGGATGATTGTACGGATAACTCGATAACGCGACGGTGCGATCAAGAAGATGAACATGGAAGGTCCTTTGAAAACGCTATAACTACTACTACAAATACACAAATACGCGAGGATTCTAGTGGCTCGAATGAAATCCATGTTCTTCCCAGTGAACATGAATCACCTGTTCGTAAGATCGAACCTTTTGAGATATCTTTGCCTTCGAGACAAACGGAAGATACCATATTTTTTCGTGAACCCGATGAAAGATTGAATTTTCGTAAAATCAAAATGATGGAGGAAATGAACGAGCATCGTGCTATCGTTGGCTGCAAAAGAAATACCGAGGATGAATATGACAGGACGGATAAGAGGAGAAAAATGGACCTTCCACTGAACATGCATCAGACTACTGAACACAGGGACTCCATTCCTAGACCGGTCTTTGACAGCTTGTCTCGAAACAAACATACAGTCGACAGAATCGTTAATTCTTAAAAAATAAATCTACACTTTTTCTGTTTCCTACGTGTTTTCTGAACTTTCAAAATGTTTACAATACATTTTTCGTAAAAAAGAAAACAAAGAGAACGTATTTTGTTATTTGTTGTTGTTGTAAATATTGAACGGTATAGAAGCGTCTTTTTATATTCACAGTCACGTTCTGTAAAATCGAAGATTCGTAGATTGATTTCTATCAGATTTTTCGTACGAATAATTTTAACAACATATGAATAAATTAAATTATTTTTTATTTCTAATAATAAGAGCGGATAAATATTTATATGTATATAGATTAATGTATAATTTATATATTTATTTTTCGGTAATAAAAATAGGAAGAAAATTATTTAAGAAATAAAGAATTAATTTTCTTTTGTATAAAAAAAATTGCTACAGAAAAAAATGTGAAACTAGCAAATAGACATATCGTCATCGTAAATTATGCTTTGTACAAATTGTAAATATATATACATATATATTTATATTGTATTTTTGTACAAATAAGAGTAATCACATATTTTGTCGAAAATGAACGAATTTTAGATGAAATAAAACCCGCATCTATTTTACAATTCACTCAATTTCTCTTTCTCTCTCATTTTCCAAAGATTTAAATCTCTTATATCTCTCTGAAAACATATATATTTTAATGAACATGATAATTATCCCAAGTAAAAAAAAAAAAAAAAAGGAAGTTATAAGTTTGTAAAAGGGATGATAAAATGTTGAAAAAGGAACTTGTCTATTGACGAAATAACGTCGAGAAGTCGAAAGTTGATTAAGAAGATTTCTAAAAGCCCTTTTCGTCGGACGAGAAAGAAGGATTATGGAGGATCAGAGTGTGCTAGGTAAGCTTCCCACGTCGTAATAGAAATGAAATGAAAACAGATCTAGAAAATTAAAGACTCTACTAACATCAACATCGAATATTTATCATCGTTTAAAGTACATTATGAAAATCATTTTAAATTATTTCTTAATCGTTTGAACACACTACTAACAAAAATTACTAGAAAAGAATCTCATCCCTCTCCTTTACTACAACAACAACAACAACAAAAAAGAAAAATATTTTCCAAACGAGAGGATACGAAAAGAAATCAAAATCAAACTTATCTTCTTGGTTAAATTTATTGCATTTTTGTATTTTATTGCAAGGGTAGAACAGGGAGTGTTGGGTGTATAAAACTTGAAAAGAAAATTTGTCAAGAGATTCTTCTTCCTAACACCACTTAAGATTGCTTTTTCTGTTTTTTCTTTTTTGATTTTCTTTTTCTTTTTTTTTTACAAAAATTTAAGGTCAAACGTTCACCCTCACAACCATCACCATCATCGTTTAATGGTGTTAAAGAGGCAAAAATGCGACAATGGCAAATGCACAACTATTGGGCCTCTGGTATCCGCACCTTTTAACAATAGGACACTTGCATCGTCTTTTGTATGCACAGCGGGAGATTGGACGTTTATAAAAGCAGCTACCGAGCTTACCTTCCCTCTTTTTTTTTTTCCCATCTTTCTTTTTCTCTTTCTTGCTTCTTCTATTTTTCTTTTTCGTCCCGCGTGCCATCGGGCCGAGAACGACGCGGTACGTTTTAAGACCACCATTTTCATTCATTCAACAAAATCTCTTTTCTAACCAAAGTTATTCCGAGCAGTCTACTTCTCTCGGTTTGTTCGTTCGTTCACTCGTTCATTTATTTATTTCTTTTGAGAGGGATTGGGGGTGGAGGATCTATTTGATCGTGTCAAATCGTCGAAAAGTTCAAATTGACAATAGTAATAAAAAAAAAAAAAAAAAACGAAAAAAAGAAGATCGCTTTTCTTAACTTTCGTGTTCACATATGGGGGATGAGAACTTTTATGATAAAAGATTGAGGAGAATAGTTTGGAATGTTTAAAAAGGAATGAATAGTCAAGATGAACATCATTAATATTAAATTTAATACCATTTATGTACACCTATTTATAGTATTTTAAGTTAGATTTCATTATATGTACAATTAAATTATTATTATTATTTATTGTATTATTTTTATTTTTATTTTTTATTTTAATTTAACTTTTTTTCATTGGTTTAATTGGTTTTTTTGATAGCACAAAATTTCATCGATTAAAATAAAATAATTTTATATTATATATATATATATAATATGAAAGCTTATCTTTTATATATTTTATATATTTTATACATAATAATTATCCCTTTCCATATTAAATATAAAAAATATATAAAATTATTATTTTTATATATAATATAAAATTATATTAAATATATATAATATATTATATTAATAAATATTAATATTATATTATATAAAATTATATAAAATATTTTATATATATATAAAAATTATTTTTTTGATTATATATAATATTATATTATATTATATTTTACCAGTTTAATATATAAAGGATAGAAAGAGACAGATAAGGAAAAAAGAAATTAATTAGAAAGTGACAGAGAGAATATAATAATAAGATAATAGTATAAGGTAAAGGTAATATCTCATGTATCTTTCACTTTATATTCATCTTCATCCTATCTAAAACGAAAGACGAAAGACTACACGACGAGATTTCGATCCAGAACGCGACAGGCACGCAAAGTTGCGGAAAATTGAATTTCGCACTACCCATGTTAAAAAAGTTCGAGAAAAAGAAAATCAAAATAAACAAAAAGGAACAACTTCGAGGAAGGGATGGAAGGATCTAACTAGGGAACGAATTTAATTCATTTTTTGTTTTTTTTTTGGTCTCGTGATTTATGATACCCAACTTTCTATGATAAAGTACAGAAAATATTAGATGTACTTTATAAAAAAAAAAAATTATTTATCAGGTAGACAAATTACGGTAATAATAATTCGATGATTAAAAAAAATATTATTTCAATTATTGCGTGTTCATTCGTTTATAATTTTTAATCGATATTACAATATAAAAAGTTATTTTTTTATTAACAATGATTTGATAATCGTTAAAAGGTAAATGAAAATAAAAAAAAAAAATAATAAAAAGAAATGTGAAAAATACGAGAAACAAATTAAAAACCAATTATATTGACCAATAAATATTATTCGTTTAATATTAAATAATTTCTATGAATGGAAAATATTATTATGTATATAACTTGTGGATTATTCGATGAAATACAGTATCGGTTCTTTGCTCAACGAACCGGAATATAATTGGTATCGATAATTTGTTCATTATGCGTACACGATTATGATCCGAGTACTGAATTGAGATATACACCATCAGTTTATGTATAGGTTAAACAAAGGAGATATATGTACGCTTCGTTAGCGCGTGCTATGAAACGTTGAATCATACGGAAATGATATAGAAACAAGTCAATGAATTTCAATGATAAGATAAATTTGTTACTCTCGATCAGTTCAAATTCATTAAACTACACACCATTACGCGTATATTTAGTTAGGTAAATTCATATTAATCTTATCCAAAATGAACCATAATTTTACTTCATATATACATTATAATTTCAATTATTATTCAAATAATTAATGTATTA